TGTTGGGAATTCCCCAACAACGATGTGCCCTGAGCCGAACTGCGCCTTCTTTCATATTTGAGTCAAGGACTCATTTTCGTTCAAAAATATCCCCTTCTCCTTATTACCTGCTTCTTCGAAATTGCTGAATTTGTGAGATGTGGAATGTCATGGCCAAGAAAACAATTTAGCTCGAAATATCTAACAAACATAGCACCGAATAATTGCTTCCCTAAAGCGTCGAAACTTGTCTCGCCTGGGGCAGGAATCAATCTGTGAACAATGGCAGCTTGATGAGACACCTCCAGCCGCTGATCTACTTAGGCTCCCAACAGAAGAGATCTTCGGGAAAGAAGCAGTCCCATACTATGTTGGCAACAGAAAAGAAAATGAAGCATGGTGTTCATCCCCAGATTTTTTTATAAGCGAAGCGTATTTATTTTACGGTGTAGAACCACGTGATTTGGAAAACCACTGAAAATACAGATAGCTCTTTCTCTGGTTCGAATCGCAGCAATAAGCCAACGACTCTAACCACTCCTTTAGGCTGAGTTCATACTTTGCGGTAGCGTCCACTGACGAACATCAGCGTTTCGAGCGTCCGTCAGCGACTATGAAGGTATAGATATCGATCTAGAGTCTACCAGCGTCCAGCAGCGTCCGCCAGCATCCACCAGCGACCAGGGGCAGAAAGTACGGGGAAGAATAAGGGAAACAGACTGCTGGTAGAGTGTGGGGAGGTAGGAGGGAGGAGACTGGTGGATTAGGTGTCGTGAAATTGTGGCTTGTGCAACCACACCCGATACCGTACTGGTTGCTGGTGGACGCTGGTAGACGTAGGTCGATATCCATACTTTCCTAGTCCCTCAAGACGCTGATTGTCGCGACGCTGGCAGATGCTGCCGTTTGCTAGATCGATATTCATACTTTCCTAGTTGCTGAAGCTGACGGACACCCGAAATGTCGAGTCGCTGGTGATCGCTGGTAGACGCTGCCGCAAAGTATGAACGCAGTCTCAAGGGTCGAGCGATTGCTCCCAGACATGCCTGGGAGGATATGACACTGAGTTTTGCATCGGCTGGTCTCCAGTAAACCATTTTATACGCGCAACTACAATTCCGAATAGAAGTAGAGTGCACTGCTTATCCCGAAGAAGGAATGAGAGATGGCTCCAGTTTTTTGCCGTCATTAGCCTCAACATTGGCAGTTGATCTGTTCGCGCCCCAGTTCAGATCTGATTGTCGCTTGTGGCCTCCCTAAGCTCTCCCGTTTTTATTACATAAAAGTTACTAGTCTGGAGCAAGTCTTAGAGCCAAATATATAATGTAATCGTAACGTTTTACAATTGAACACGGATACTAGTTCTATATTGTTTATTGGGTTCACATTGTGCTCAAGCCAACCCTTTGATTTCAGAGACCCAATAACCGCAATCAGGCTCATTCATAAGGAGAAGAACCTTTGTTTCGTGGCCATCTGGACCCCTGAATGTGAAAAGCAGATGTGAAATTATGCGTAACATCATGTCGTTTCACGACATTTAAATGGATAAGCAGAGGCATCCGAAGGATATTACTCAACATCATTTCCTTACTAATCACTTGCGTTACTTATTTTTCCTTATCTTCTTAATCATGCAATGGATTTCAGCTGTTCATGACAAATGGAGAATAGCGTAATAGTTTCGGAAAGCGCACTAAAGGCGACCAAATGAACTCGAATTTTGAAGTATCCTTGAAGACCATTTAGGACAAGAATTGGGACTGTGTCGATACAGTTATATGTATGTCCGAGCGTCATGTTATAACAAACGGAGGGCGCAATAAAGTGCATGGTGTGTCATTTTTCTGCCAACCCTTGTTATATTTTTGCTCGAGTGGGTTGAATCCATACGAAACTTCGTGCCACGGTAACAATATGTCCTCACACAGCGTCAATTAGAAACAAAAAAAACAAACATTGGGGAAATGCATACACTCCACAGCACAGATGATCCGTTTCGCCCGGTGTCGTAGACGAATCATCGAAGTCTTACCAACCCCCCCCCCCCGCCGACCTTCTCTCAAAACAAGCAGACCTCCTTGAACGAAGGTTTCTGCTGGCTTCAGGAAACAAACCAGCTGAGGGCAGACTGATTGTGCCTAGTTTGTACCACAGTAAGTGACTATGCCCCACAGAGGGCCAGAGTAAGCCCCCGAGGACGAGGGTTCGCTAGTTCTAAGAATCCAGCCAGGTCAGGGTGGTGTAATTGCGTACTTTTGCCGCCACATCAAGCAGTCCTTCCCTACAGAGAGCCAGAAGTAGTAGACCTGCTCGAATCAAGGTTTCTGCTGCCCTAAGAATCAAACCAGGTCAGGACTAACTGCGCCCGGTTTTTCACCACAGCGAGCAGCCATACTCCGCAGCGGACCAGAACAAGCAGGTGTTTTGTGCTGGCTCTAAGAATCGAGCCAGGTCAGGGTAGACTAATTGTGCCCATTTTACGGTGTATGAAAATCAACGCTGGTTAAATTGATGGGACGTTCTAGTTGGACCCAATATCCATTGTGAACAGATAAGACAGTCGTTGAGTTGGCTGAGCCTAATTAGTATCGCTGAAGGTCGAAGAACGATCCGTGCCGAGGTGTTAGTTATGCCCACGTGGGATAGTTAGGGGCGACTAGCGATGACCTAGGCAGCACCAGTACTCATTTGATCTCCTACTGTACTCTAGTACTACCACGTTTTGCTCAGTTTCATAGTTTTACTACTTTTGCTTTGTCCCTTATAGCTCTGACCTCCTGCAAACCCTATTAAGGTCCTATTTTTGCAGATATAGAAATTACTCTATGACTTTGATAAAATGTCATCAAAAACGCCCTTTACACATTCGAAAAACGTAAGTTCTTCCCATGAAGTTTTTCAAGCCTTAAAACTGAACGATACCCCGAGTTTCAGCATCCACATGTGACACGAACTGTCGGAATGTCCCGAACATCCGGGCGAATTTACCCGCCTGGATTTCCCGTCATGATACCTCATCAGGTCTCATCGAGGAAAACGCCGTTTCGAAAAAGTACGTTTCTCGAAGTAATTTTGTATTTTTATAGTTGTTGAGAAGTTGTTTAGAGAGCAGAGGACGGGTTTTATATCCCATGGAAATCATTCCTTTCAGAGCTGAGTTCATCATATCGCTTCTCAAAATCAAAAACCTACTTTGAACAGTGTTTCGATGTGATCGGATGTCTGGGTAATGGCTCATTTGGACAGGTAACCCAGTTGACGACCCTTTTTTGATGGTTATTTCAGTGGCGAGATGAAAAAAATACAGTAGACATTCAAGTCCCTCTAGAGCCCCACATTCCGGGTTGAGGACGGGAATTTCAACTTGTCTAAGGGGGGGGGGGGACATAGCGGCGTGACTATGCTATATTATATCTCGGACGAATGCCTGTAATTTCCCGTTTTTTCTCTTTCGGAAGCCTCAGGGTGGAAATACAGTCAATTTCTTTCACTGCGAGTGAGCGCACAGAGGCATACATGACGTGGCAGAGTCGCTCGCGCAGCCGCATAGCCTCTCTCGGAGCTGTTCGGCTTGGAAGGGGCATTTTGGACTTTCACTGGTTCCTTTTCTTAGTTCCTGTCAAACAACGGGTCTCATTTTGGTGAGACCTGTAAACCATGTCGAAGCTGCCAAATTGTGCGGGTGTGTCCTTTGGTCACAGGAATTCACAGGTCCTCACGATATAGCCTTGACTGAGCACCGCGCGCTGCCCCCACCAAGCCGCACAGGGCCCCTCTCAACTGCCTTTGCTTTGGCATTTATCCCACTGTATTTTCGCATCGTGAACACGAATACCACAGCGGCGTATAGGTGTCGGATCCCCTAGCGTGACCACCGTAGGACTATCGACCGCGTTAGTTCCGACGGCCTAAGTCCCACTCCTTCCTTTCATTAAGTGAAAAGGTTTTTCTACCACAAACTGACTTTTCTACTTGATGCTGCAAAGGTGCTATAGTATTCAGGGACAAATAACCTGCGGGACACGCTGCTAGCGTTTTCAGCAAAATTGGCGACTGAGATATTCTACCGACGCTTTGAATAGTACGGACGCAAGGGTTTTCGAAATGCGACATTCACGTTCAGGCAGTCAAAGGGAACCTTGTTCCATTCTTTTCTTGAGAAACCGGGGGCGAAGCGAATTTCTGCCCAATTTACCTTTTAGATCCTATAGAAATCTGGACTTTGAAAAGTGTGGTCGTGAAGGGTGAATAGCGTCGATGACCATTGTTCAATTCAGGTGCTCCATGTGAAATGCAAGGATACTGGCGAAGAATACGCCGTAAAAAGAGCTCTACGTACATTCGAATCATCCGGAAAGCGCTACCGACAACTACAGGAAGCTCTGAATCATGAAGCCAGTATCACCTCATCCTAACATTGTCCAGTTCGAGAAGGCATGGGAAGAAAGGCAAATTTCTCAATTTTTCCTTTTTATATTTAGACTTTCATAGTAGAGGTTTTAAAATAGACAGAAAAGAGAGGAGAGTCGGTACGGGAACATACAGCCGAGACGTCTCTTTTTATCCTCCCATATGGGCGGTAGATTTTTGAACTAGTTGACATTAGCCAGTTCTACGCAGTGATTCGACTGCACTACATTAGGCAATTCTGATTTTCTGAAAAGGTCGATACTATCGAAAGTTCCCAAGGGAGGAAAAAACCGGCATACTTTACAACTGTGAACTCCTGCGCGAATGGAAATTACTACAAAGATCTCATTTGACTGCGGAGCGGCCGAAACAGGGCATATACCTACTATGGAAATAGCTAGAAGGTCGAATTCGGTTGCCGGGGTGTGCCTGCCGTATTTGGCGCTAAAAGCTTTTCCGGATTGTCGATGTTTCTCGTTGAGGACCACCACCCCTCTCTCCCCACCCGAATTCAAAGTTTTGGGAAGATTTGGTGGATAAGAGATGGCGGGCAGGATGTGATAGGTGATGGTTAAAGCTGCTCAACGTAGACGCTAGGATATAACGAGCTTTGACTAAGATTTCGATACTGTTACCTTTACGAATAATTGAATATGAATAATAAATAATACGAATTTCTTTCAATCGCTGAGCCGTCCTATTTCCAGCGAATGTGATAAGCACCAGACATTGGCGACGTTCACTAAAAAGCAGAAATATGATGAAATGGGCCAGACATGGGAATTAGGCCAAGTGGTGAGCACAGAAATCCTATCAGTGGTCAGTACCACAGGTTTGACCATGCGCGCAGTAGTGCACATCAGCTAAACTGGTCTTTAAGAACTGAAGAGCACATGAATAATTTTGAAGAAACAAGGAGGAAATAGAATTGTGGAAGGTCGGAAACCTTTTTGTTTCTGCTCTCGTTTGCTGAAATCGTGTCACAAAAGCATATTTTGAGTTGTACAAAAAGTCTCTCACCACAAGAGGATGGAAATAATTAATGAAGAGGAGCTCTTTTGATCGGAGCATATCTCTTCTCACACTCGAGAAGAAATACACTAATTACTCGAGAAAGGTTGCTTTAGCGTCATAGGTAAGTCCGAGATTAACGATCGAGCTGCAATCCTCTAAAAATGAGCAGGCAATGAGTAAAAAGGTGAAGATTGGGAAAAAAATGGTGCTAATAACCTTGAGGGGAGGGGGTGTGGTGAGGGTTCCTCGTGTAAAATAGAGACTATAGTCATTCAAGTACCACCCTTTGAATTGGTTCCCTAACACCGGAGCTCCTCCCTCTTTCGGCCCAGGCAAAAGTCCTCTCCTCCACTGCAGGGATCCTTTTTTTGCACATGGAACCTTCTTCATGCCTCCTCCCCCTCTAAAAGTATCAGCGCCGGAAAATACAACACTAATCAGTTCGTGATCAGGATCGTGCCAACCACTAGTGGACCCTGATCCCGTCCGAACTGCCCAAAAATGGTCAAGGATAGCGCGCACGGCCCTAAATGGGTATCCTCCAATGGTAATGGATATTATCGCGGAAGGGCTAAAAAGACGGTTGAGGTCTTAGAGAAAAGAATGACTGTGAGGTGGACGACAAACCCGCCCAGCACAGCTGTACGCCATTAAGGCTAATGGGCTAGCCGAATAATAGATTAGTATTCTTTTGAAGGGGTTTCTGCTGAATAGGACCTTAACGAGAAAACGTCTAGAATTTCCTCAAATTCAATACAAATGAGATTCCCGTCCATAGTGTCTAACAAAGCGGATTACTGAAGAATCGGCATAATATTGGATTAGGTGGCCGATTCTATAGGGAATATTTAGTGGGGAGACACTGGCTGCTAACGAGCATTGTTAGGCTCACGCCATAGTAAGGCAACAATTACGGGGCAGAAACGAGTCCTTGTCGAACAAACCTGATTACCGGTTCTGGAAAAGGCCTCATGGAACTGATTCACTTCAGTTATATCTTTTTTGCTTGAAATTTGGGCGCAGTTCGCGACGGGGGGTATTTCGCACTTCTGCTATTTCTCACTGACTTGTCGAGCCATCAGATGGAAACCTGTGAAGTTTTGTAAAGCCACGAAATGATGTCAGCCAAAGATTGTAGAGATCACCTGTCAAGTCTTGTTGAAAGACCTGTCAACACTTGTAAATTCGTGATGGAATTGAAAATTGAAAATGAAATGGGGAAAAGACATGAGCTATTTCCAGAGCTTGCAAGAGTTGACAGGTTTCACCAGATTGAAACTTGTA